GCTGACGGACTGCGGCTTTAATGTACTGATTTAGATGCAGAGAAAACTGAGTGGCGCAGCGTCTCCCAAGTTCCCACAGGAGTAATACAGAAACAGACACATTCAGCCCCTTCTTACACACACACACACACAGGCACTCTTTCTCCTACACACACGGTTAGGTTTATCAGGGTAATGGCTGTGTGTTCAGTAATGATTTTGGAAGCGGGTGATGGCTGAGGGAGGTGGGGGGCTCGGCTAACCATGAAACCTTTTGCAACTCCTCAGAGGCTGTGATTGTAGGAGGCAGTAATGATTCAAAGGTTGTACGTTGTCTGATTGCGAGCATGACAAGGGTAGAGTCTAATAAAGATGGTCGATGACCATATCATGCCGAGATGTGGATCGTTTTATGAGGCTTCACTCGGTCAATGTTTCACTGGTGTGCATGTGTGCGTGCATGCGTGTGCGTGTGTCATGTTTCAAATGGAGAGCATCAGGAGCTGTTTGGATATCTGTCAACGCTCAGCATCATCTCCATGGACTGTTAGGGTTAGGCCAGGGGTCTGCAACCTTTACGATCAAGAGCCATTTCTGCTTCTTTGCTCACTAAATAAAGATCTGGAGCCACAAAACCTACAACTATCAACTGGTGGCCCATGGGCTACTTCATGTTTGTTAGAGGGGGCTTTCCAGGGCCAGTAGGAGCGACATAAAAAAAACTAAAATATCTGATGATTGTTAATGTTTATTTATTTTTTACGTTTGAAGACAGAATAAAAGTCTGTATTTATTTAGAATAAGAAATGTATGTACTGGTAGTTTTACCAATATTATAGAAGTTTAAACACTGAGCCATGCAGGCCTATGTGAGTTTTCTCTTTAACTGTGGAAAAATTAAGTGTCCTCTGAAGTAATAAAACATGGTTAAAGTGAGTATATATAGTTTTGTTGTTGTTGGTGTATATAAAAAAAATAAAAATCAGTTTCATGTTACTTTTGGTTAAGATTTGAAAGTGCCACAGAGGGACCAAAGAGCCATGTGGCCCCAGAGTCCCAGGTTGGAGTGTGGTTTTATGGAAAGAATATGAACAATTAATTTCTTGCTTGTTGTAAATCACTCTTTGAACCACTTTAGTTTGGATACATAATTTAATTCTGACTAGAAAGATGTGCTAATGGATATTATTTAGGGCTTAGACCAAAGTGGATTGCTGCCATCTTAGAACAACTCTAATTTCAAATTTCATAATGATTTATGCAAACAATATTTTGTTTATATTATTATTGCTGGACAATAATTCGATATCAATATACTTTTATTCCGTAACGGTGGAATGAGTTTTAAGCACATTTTCAATGTTTCAATATGATTACAGAGTTTCACTGATGCATTTTTTTTTCTGTTCGGGTTGAAACTGAAGCGGTCGCTTCAGTTTCAACCCGAACAGAAAAAGATGCGACACAACTACGTAAGTGCGTGGTGACGTAGATGTTACGCAGAGCTCGAGTCCAGAAGGCGTTAGTAGGCTAATCTCCAACCTGCGTTAAGTTTTCGCTTCAAAATGAGTTCCCATGACCTTCAGAATGTGACTGAACGAGCTTTCACAAGCGAAGAGAAGGCAGATGACATAATTGATAAGAAAGGAAAGACTAATTTGGCGGTGTGGAAGTGGTTAGGCTATCTAAGATCTGATAAACTGCAGGTTTCAGTCTGTGTGCTGCTAAATGTGCCGGAGAGTCGTTCTAACTAGCGGTGGGAAGTGAACGCATCAAACTTGTTCCACTCGATAGAATATACTGAGAGTCAGAAGATGAAACAATGAAAGTTTGAGCCAACGTGTCCCTGAAACACCCCCAGCCGTATCAAGAGAGGAACCCTGTTAGGTCATGTTGTTGACAGCTAAAACTATTAATACTAACAAAGTTGAGACTGTTGTGTTTATTTGACGGTGATTTCAAAGCTTTTTGAAGGCTAAATACAAATAAAAGGTCAACATTAATTTGTTTGTACAGTTTTTCTGATGCTGTTATATTGTTTATATCGATATCAAATCTTATCGTTATCGACCGAAATAAAGAAATATATTGTGATAAAAGTTTTGGCCATATCGTCCAGCCCTACATTATTGTCAGTTCAGCATTACGTGGCAGTTTGGTCAGAAATCATGATATTCATGCTGTAAGAGCCTCAGTGCGACAAACTGTTGTTTTCATCATATTTGTAATGTGGTTGTAAACACATTTTAATTCTGAAGTGCCCCTAAACAGGAAGGGTGAGCATCATTCCTGTAAAAGGAGTGCTCAGATTGAATTTTAGACGACACTAAAGGTTGACCTGTTCTGTAAATTCATTGTTCAGTCTTCATCTCCATTCTGTTAAGTCACCAGCCCCGAGGAGAGGATTTACCCCGTGTGGTTTTGTTCCCACCCATCCTGATGGTTGTGGTTTTGAGTCCAGTTACATTAACTGTTCTCCTCCGTGTGTAGTGCTGTGGTCTGTCCTGTTGAAATGGAGTGGATGGCTGCTCTGTAATAATGTGATTATAACGGACTCCCTCGGTGTAGAAACATCAGCGTATATTGACTGAGCTCCCCTCACACAGACACGCACACATAAAAGCGTGATCTCGTACAGAATAAAAATCAATGTGTTGTTGTGTAGTAGTTTTTTTTTTAAAGACTGACGTTCTTCTTTCTCCCCTGCAGGCGACGCCTTGTCGGCAGGCTCCGGTCCCTTCCTGTCAGGTTACCCAGGTCCCTCCCCGCTGACCTCCGACCCCGCGTACAGATCAGCCAATCCCTGCGGGCTGCAAATGGCTCAGCTCTGGGCATCGCACGCTCATGAAGGTAAATAACTTCACAAAACAAAACAAATCCCGTCCGTCCCCACTTCTCTCTTCCAGTCCATAATTCAGAGACTCAAGTGGTGTCACAGTTTCATGGTGTTTTTCACAGCCTGCTCAAGTTCAATGCCCAGAAGGCTTGTTCATCTTCTGTTTCTCGCTGCTTTGGGATCCTGTTCCAGTTCTGTGTCACGGCTCCCAGCTCTGTCCCAAATGTGTCTCTCTTACTCCGTCCTCGACCGCTCCTCTACTATGCTCTTACTATAATCCATCTTTTTCTTTCTTCCTGTCTGATGCGCCTCCAGCTCTCCTGCCCCACTTTTCCCATATCCTTCTCCTGGCTGAGCTCAAGAACGTGCTTTCAGACGGAGTGAACTTTTTAAGGCCTTCACGCTTCTGTTCAGGACTCCTCAGAGAGTGATTTAATCTGTCTTCCCTCATGCTTTCTTGTGACTCCTTATCACATCTCATTTGGGTAGAAGGTCAGATAGGAGGCATCTGACACTACATGCTGGGAGGTGAAGGGACAAGGACAAACAGATTCTGTTTAAAACTGATTGCATTACCTGAGTGACAAATTTTGTTCACTGCCTTGTAAATACAGCAAATCAGATTGTGCTGCATTTGATTAGATTTTTATTTATTTATTTATTTTCATGTTCGTCCTATACTAATTTCCTTCAACCCAATGATTGCTCAAAGATACAGTATTGACATGTGATTACAAGTTGGAGCCTCCTGAGAGCTGAGGATAAAAATGTAATTAGATACCCTAATCTTGATCATGTCTTGATTGTTTTCTGCTGTGGGTTTTCACAAGATCAAGGTATAAAAATATCAAGAATCATACAGTTTGATGTTTTCATAAAGCAAAATATCAGTTGTGATGTTTTCATGGGAAAAATCTGTGAAAACCTGGAAAATAACTTCTACGTTTTCCAGACAGGGAGAACTCAGGGACTTGGGCACTGATCTGCTGTTTAAAAAATTATCTTTTTGAGATTTTAACATGTTTATTTATTAATGCTAGTATTCTAGTCCCATTGAATCCATGTTCTGCTTCTACAGTGTGCAAAGTACATGTATCTTTAGTGATTTTCTATGGTGACTTTTAAGTATCTAAAATTAATTGTTATTAATGACTGCCATATGCCATATCATCGATTTTTATCGATTTTATCGATTCGTTGTTGCAGCCCTAGTGTGATATGGCTAATTAAATAGAAGTGTATGGTGCTCTCACTGC